ATGATTATGATTGATGATTATGATTGATGATTATGATTGATGATTATGATATGATTATGATTGATGATTATGATTGATGATTATGATTGATGATTATGATGATTGATAATTATGATTGATGATTATGATTGATGATTATGATTAATGATTATGATTGATGATTATGATTGATGATTATGATTGATGATTATGATTGATGATTATGATTGATGATTATGATTGATGATTATGATTAATGATTATGATTAATGATTATGATTGATGATTATGATTGATGATTATGATTGATGATTATGATTGATGATTAAAATTGATGATTATGATTAATTATTATGAGTGATGATTATGAGTGATGATTATGATTGATGATTATGATTGATGATTATGATTGATGATTATGATTAATGATTGATGATTATGATTGATGATTATGATTGATGATTATGATTGATGATTATGATTGATGATTATGATTGATGATTATGATTGATGATTATGATCGATGATTATGATCGATGATTATGATTGATGATTATGATTGATGATTATGATTTATGATTATGATTGATGATTATGATTGATGATTATGATTAATGATTATGATTGATGATTATGATTGATGATTATGATTGATGATTATGATTGATGATTATGATTGATGATTATGATTGATGATTATGATTGATGATTATGATTGATGATTATGATTGATGATTATGATTGATGACTATGATTGATGATTATGATTGATGATTATGATTGATAATTATGATTGATGATTATGATTGATGATTATGATTGATGATTATGATTGATGATTATGATTGATGATTATGATTGATGATTATGATTGATGATTATGATTGATGATTATGATTGATGATTATGATTGATGATTATGATTGATGATTATGATTGATGATTAGGATTGATGATTATGATTGATGATTATGATTGATGATTATGATTGATGAATATGATTAATGATTATGATGATGATTATGATTATGATTGATGATTATGATTGATGATTATGATTGATGATTATGATTGATGATTATGATTGATGATTATGATTGATGATTATGATTGATGAATATGATTGATGAATATGATTGATGATTATGATTGATGATTATGATTGATGATTATGATTGATGATTATGAATAATGATTATGATTGATGATTATGATTGATGATTATGATTAATGATTATGATTGATGATTATGATTGATGATTATGATTGATGATTATGATTGATGATTATGATTGATGATTATGATTGATGATTATGATTGATGATTATGTTTGATGAATATGATTGATGATTATGATTGATGATTATGATTGATGATTATGATTGATGATTATGATTGATGATTATGATTGATGATTATGATTGATGATTATGATTGATGATTATGATTGATGATTATGATTGATGATTATGATTGATGATTATGATTGATGATTATAATTGATGATTATGATTGATGATTATAAGTGATGAATATGAGTGATGATTATGAGTGATGATTATGAGTGATGATTATGAGTGATAATTTTGATTGATAACTATGATGATTATTTATTTATTTTTTTATTTATTTTTATATATTTTTATTTATTTTATTTGTTTTTATTTATTTTTATTTACTTTTATTTATTTTTATTTACTTTTATTTATTTTTATTTACTTTTATTTATTTTTATTTACTTTTATTTAGTTTTATTTATTTTTATTATTTTTATTTATTTTTATTTATTTTTATTTATTTTTATTTATTTTTAATTATTTTTAATTATTTTTATTTATTTTTATATATTTATTATTTATTTTTATTTATTTTTATTTTTTTTTATTTAATTTTATTTAATTTTATTTATTTTTATATATTTTTATTTCTTTTTACATAAAAAATTTTACCCCTTGTTTCTTCACACCCAGAAATATATCATTATTTATTTATGATGAGTGGCTGCAATTCCTATTTTTAAGTTCCTACCTTTGAAAAATTGATACTCTCATTAAAACTTTCACCCTGCCTGTTTCTCACCCTTTAAATGTGAAAATATAAAATCCCTGAAATACGTCATTATTTACTTAAGATGAGTAGCTACACTTCCAATTTTCAAGTTCCTATATTTAAAGAACCAATAATTCATACTAAACTTTACCCCGTTCCCCCCTCTTTAAAATGTGAAAATCCGAATACACGGAAGCAAGTCATTATTTATGTATGAGGATTGGCTACAATTCCAATTTTTAAGTTGCTATCTTTAAAACTCCAATATTTAATAAAAACTTTTAACTCCCATTTCTCCCCTTAAAATGTGAAAATTCTAGACACTTAAACAACTCATTACCTATTTAGTTATGGTGTGTAGCTATAATTCCAATTTTTAAATTCCTACCTTTAAAAAATCGATACTCGTATACAAAATTTCATCCCCTGTTCCCACTTGTTTCCCGCCTTAAAATATGAAAATTCAAAAACGCTTAATTATGTTAGCTACATTTCAAATTTTTAGGTTGCCTATAAAAAAATTATTTTTCCATACAAGCGTTCACTCCCCCGTTTCCTCCCCTTTAAATGTGAACATCCTAAAACCCTAAAACATGTTATTATTTATTTACGCTCAGTAGCTGTATTTCAAATTTTTATGTTTCTAACTTCAAACAACAAAGACATACAAAGCTTGCTCCCCATTTCCCTCCATTAGAATTAAAATTTTTGAAAATTATTTTTGCATACGTTATAAAATAAACCTATCTTTTAAATTTTAGCTTCCTAGACCTAGAAGTTTTGGCGGTAAGATTGATAGGTCAGTCAGTCAATCAATCAGAACAAATAATTTTATATATTTAGACTATTCTTATGGTTGGTTTCGAAATAAATTGGTCTTTAATACAAAGCCTTCCTGAATTATAAAAAATATTGGCAACACTGTTGGACGTAAATTAATATGTTAAATGAAACAAAAATATTCTTTTGGACGTAAAATAGTAATATACGGATGCAAGATAGATATTAATATAAAAGGAGTCAAAATGGTCGGAAAATAAAAAAAAAAACGTATAAAATTTTTTAACGATATGGCCATAAAAAACATATTTTGAGACAATTAATTTTTAGTAGATTCAATATACTCGATGAAATCCATTCTAAACACACTGCTTCCAAAGACGCAAAATGTATGGGTTATGAAAGGACGCAATATTGCTGCGGGATGTAAATATATATATATATATATATATATATACATATATAGAAATTTTCTAATTTTCCGCGAAATTTTCTTAATTTTTTCTTTTATAAGAACCTTCTCCTGACAATAACAAACACAACAAAAAAAGAATTTAGTAAAATCTGTCCAGCCATTCACGCGTGATGCCGTGACCAAGGGAAATAGGGATTAATTTTTATATATATAGACATTTTCTAATTTTCCGCGCCATTTTCTTAATTTTTTCTTTTATAAGAACCTTCTCCTGACAATAACAAACACAACAAAAAAAGAATTTAGTAAAATCTGTCCAGTCATTCACGCGTGATGCCGTGACCAAGGGAAATAGGGATTAATTTTTATATATATAGACATTTTCTAATTTTCCGCGCCATTTTCTTAATTTTTTCTTTTATAAGAACCTTCTCCTGACAATAACAAACACAACAAAAAAAGAATTAGCGAAATCGGTCCAGCCGTTCACGCGTGATGCCGTGACCAAGGGAAATAGGGATTAATTTTTATATATATAGACATTTTCTAATTTTCCGCGCCATTTTCTCATTTTTTCTTTTATAAGAACCTTCTCCTGACAATAACACAACAAAAAAAGAATTAGCGAAATCGGTCCAGGCGTTGTTGAGTTATGCACTTACCAACACATTTTGCGATTCATTTTTATATTATGGATAAATGATAAAAATAATAGGACTAAGGACTATTTGAATTTTAATAGGATTATTAAATTAATTTCTTATTTTAACTATTTGCCTCTTCTCCTGAAGGTAGTTTTCAAAAATTTCAAATCAATCCTTGCATGCCATAACATTCAAGAATTTATATTTTTATAAATATTTAAATTAACTGTTGTTTTTTGTTTTTAATTATGTTAAAAATGCCCTTGTAAATTTAAAGTAAAAGATAAAGTAAATAATGTTCAATAGAACCTAATAAATAGAGAGTATTGCCATTTTTTGTTTGTTTTTTATTGCAATTTATTTATCTCACACATAGTTATTAAAGGAGCACCTCACAATCTATTATAAAATATGTTTTAAAAAGTATTATGCACATGAAAAAAATTTATTTTACATTTCCCCAAAAAAAAGATATTTGATAAAATGTTGTGCATCCATTGGAAATCCATAATCAAGCATGAAATTTTTAAAATTAAAAAAATTCCAATACACACTTTAAGGGGATTCTTGCTTTATTCTAGACGGCGCATTTCTAATTTTCGTTTTCATTTGGTCACATGTAACGCAGTGAAACCGACGTGAAGATATATTTAAGTTAAATAGATAAAAAGTTGACGAGTTCGTTAATCACGTGAACCTCGCTATCGGATGTGCTGCAATAAACTGGTCTACTTGAATATTGGCTGGGCGTCCTACAGTTGACGAGGTGGTTACTTTCAATAACGTCGCTTTGTCAAATGCTGTAATTAACTGGTCTATTAGGGTCGTCTATTACAAGGTACTAGGTAAAATGCTGCTCAGTGGTGTAGACTTTCGTGGCGCGTAATGTGGCAAAAATACTTATTAATACATAAATGACAACTAGAACGTGGAACATATTTTTACTTTCCTATTATACAGATAAGGAAAGTATAGGAATCATGATTTTATTCGACCTCGAGTTTTCGACGGTTTTTTACATTTTGGGCCCCCTGAATCGCATAGTTTTCATACGGTTTGTCAATTTGCAATTTTTTGAAAACGCTGCTATCTCCATCTCCGACTAGATATGCGTATTTTACGCCATGCATCTCTATACTACGTTTGAAACCTTCAAGAATGATATCGCTTTCCATAGATGTTGACGTACCAGACCAATTCCTAAAGCAAAGATGCTCTTTAGAGGGATTTACTTGGCACATCACACAGTATTTGTTTCTTATACCCAGATATAGCAGCTTCCCTGTTTTCTGACCAACGATACATGCCGCTCCAGAGTGGGCATTATAGGCTGAGCGATATGATCTTTTGCACCATGCTCCATCGGCTATAACTGTTATTTGTGGAATTCCATTTTCATCCACTTCACCATTTTCTCTAGCGATCTTGGCTTCTTCTGCACCAGCTTCCATCATGACCTTCCAGTTTTCCTGTTCTATAACTTGCTGTAGGTTTTTTTCTTCTGTTTTGTACAGTTTATAGCCTAATGGTGGAATGTCAAGAGTGCTAAAAAATTCTGACATCTGTGAATATCCACAACCAATACTTATTGTTCCTAAAACAGATGCCTGATTTGTATTTAATTTTCCGTCGTCCGGGCTTGTTGTAACAGTTTTTTTCACTCGGCACATTTTGCATTTAATAACAATTTGTGACATAAATCCCTTTCTGATTTCATGTACAATTTCAAGCTCTCGTGGTGTACAGGAAAACATTCCGCAGTGATTAAATGAAACAATTTCTTTAAAAAAATGCTTAATATTCACTATACGATTGCCCTCCAGGGTGGAAGATTCATGTTTCAGAGATCTAAAACATTATTTATGTAAAATAAAATAATATTAATAATAATAATGTGTCATCACGATACCTTTTTATTCCTTTTGATTTATTTTCTGGAGTGACGGTGCTATCTACGTCACTATTTATATGTTCAATATCCTCCACAAATTCGTTGGTTATATGTAAAGTGGTGCTACAATTTATTTTTATTAATATTTATTACTTATTGAGCAAGGTATGGTACATACCTATGATGGAGCACTTGTGATGTTGAGGAACAAGGTTTCTCTATATCTGAGGAATTAATATTAGTTTCGGTACCTTTCGTTGTTATATCAGGTAAAAAGCTAAAACAATTTATTTAATTAAAATAGAAGTTGCGAATAAGGATATTTAGATAAAATACCAACAAACTTTACCTCTCTACTGACACTACTGATGGCGAGGATGATGATGATAAAAGAGGAAACTGCTTTTCTTTTATACAAGAAGAATTCTGACAATACTCCAATTCTGATGTATTCTCATGAATTTCTCTGTTTTCAGCGGTCGACGTATTTGAAGATTCTTCAGCTATGCTGCTTTTTAAATTTTCTTTACGACTTACCGATTTAGCATACCTAGAAAGATTATGTTATAGAATTTAAACGCAAGTTAATCAATCGAATGCGCAGTTCACTTTAAATTATGCTTATTTTATACCCCTAGATAAATAGGTACTTTAATTCATCCATATTAGGGCCAATTTCATAATCAAAGCCTGAAGGCAAATTTAAACAAAGGAAGCTTCTATTTAAAGTTCATTTTCATAATGGTTTTCCTAATGTACTTTTACTAAAACGTGCTTAAACAAACTTTTACCATGTTGGTATTACTGATCTGTGTTTAATTCACCGGAATATTAGCCACAAAAAAGTAAATTTTTCTATGAAAAGTTTTGGATTCCAACGTATTTTATATTTAATTTTAAAGTATAAATATTTATTCAACAAATAAAGATATCGTGTAATCTCTTCGGGTTTTTCTAAAGTAGTTGAAAAAGAAATTGAATGATTTGAAATTTAATTATTCTAGGAATTAATACCCGCAGTGTAGGACACAGGATGCAGGATAATGCCATGCGTAATCTTATTAACTATTCTAGGAACCTTTTTAATCCATTTTAAAATTTAGTTTGGGATTTCCCAAATTATAGTATTTGTCAATGTGTCCTATGGCGAAAAGGGGTTTAATCTCAGCAATTTAAAAACAAAATTGTTTCAGAATACTCGTATTTTATAATATTTTTTTTAGTGCTTGTTCTGAAAAATATAATTATTTTGGAATTCAAAACAACACATAAAATAAAGAATGTTAAAAATGTTGGTATAGCTAGAATAAATATGAAAATCTTTTTTAAAATAGAGTTTGAAAATTATTGATTTTACATTTCAATGATGCAAATCAAGTGACGAAAATTGTTGAAAAGGTAAAATCAAAATTCAACAATTTCAAAATAAAGTTATATTATTATACTCTTCACACAGTAGTCTGTAAAGAGTATTATTGGTTTACTTTCAAGAAACCAAAATTTTTAATGTTCATCTAAATTTAAAAATTTTTGTACCAAAATCCTTCTCATCAAATATGTTAAAACTTTTAAAAATGGTCGTCGGTCTGCCATCCGATGTAATTTTTTGTCCACACGATAAGTCAAAAATGAAAAATTATATGTACTTAAAATTTTCAGGAAAACTCAATCTCTATAAGGGCACGAAGCCTATTGATTTTGAAAAAATCTGATTAAAAATGGAAGGGTTAAGGGGGGATAGAAAATTTAAAAAAATCATAAAATAAAAATGAAAAACAATATCAACTTGAAATTTTCAGGAAAATCTAGCTCTACAATGGAATGAAGCATATTCATTTTGAAAAAAATCTGAATAAAAATGGTGGGTTAAGAAGGTTAAAATTAAAAAAAAAATTTAAAAATGGTGATTAAATAGGGGGTTAAGAGGGATTTAAATATTAAAATCAAATCCTAACTCAGAAACAACAAATGATATCAACTTGAATTGTTCCGGAAAAATAAAGATTTTATAGGGCCTATTGATTCTGAAAAAAATCTGAATAAAAACTGAATAAGCATTACATATTTTCATTCTAGTTTGTGTATTCACATCTAATTAAACCAAACAACTGGCGCCATGTCATACAAACTTATGATTCAAAACGAAAAATTTTCAAACGTTATCGGAAACAGCATGCTTTAAAGCTTCTAAAGGAATATAAACGGGTATTTAGTTGGTACGTTGTTAATAAATTTGTATTATGAAATTGATATAATATTTAAAGCGTTCTTTTAATTATTTTAATTGGCCCTTAGTATTCTAAAAATTATTCTGTTAAGTATATCATAATGAGTTCCACTACTTAGATTTTTAGTGAAATCTCACTATACCTAATTTTAATAAACTCAAAAAATATTTACCCAAGGTCCATATAGGGTAAAGCTACAGTTTTTTTTTACTAAAATACAAATGGACTGCCACAAATGAAGTGTGAAATTTCATAGTTTTATGTAAATAATCTGCCTCTGTTCTGAGTTCCATTACTTTCGAAACACCCTGTATTTTTAATTTTAACTAGCGACCCCAAAAACTACCCATATCAAAATTTATCCAACTCGGAAAAAAATTGATATTTAAGCTGCCATAATCAAACCACATTTTAAATAATTATAAAATTATTATTAATAATAATATTAATTAATAACAATAGTAATAATAATAATAATAATAATATTAATAATAATTAATTAATTATCATCATAATAATAAAAACAATACTCACCTTCTCTTTGCAATTAAAGTCTTATTTTTTCTATGGCTACTTATTTTCAATTTTTGTTTATTTCCCATTATTGCACAGTTGAACACATAAAAATCACAAAATATCACCACTAAAAACTAGACACCACTGGCACTGACCGGCATCGATATAAAAGCTAAAATCTGTTACAGATGTTATAATATTATCGCTGAATCCCTAGGATCACTTGTTGCAGGTCATGACAACAAGGAAAGATTGCGAAGGATAGAAGTGTATAGGCTTGGATTTGGCATTAAAAACAATGCATTTTAAATATGGAATTTTGGTAATTCTAACGCATCAAATTAATTGAAATTTTGAAAGAATATTAAGAATATATAATAAAAGTCTGCTATTCTTTTATTTTTTTGATATTTATAAATATATACGCATGTTAATTTTTTGAACTTGGGCGAGTTTAAGCCGACTTTCAATTTTTTTAATGGGTCTCCTATTGATTTTTGGAAAATTTTAAATGAAGAGTAATCTAAGTTTCAATTATTTATACAATATACATTTTTTTCAATGACATCGGATAACTAGATCAGTTACAATTCTTTATGAAAATCCTCTAAATTTATGCCTATTTTCAAAAGTAAGAATCCCCTTAACATTGGTTTTGGATTATTTTTTATTGATTAAAGTAAATCGAAATCACTTAAAAAAGCCCTATGATTTAAATTTAAGTACATATTTTAATTCCTATCAACATTTTAATTAATATTTTGCTCTGTATTAAAATTTAAAAGTACTAAACCAACTTTAAAATCGTGCAAATACCCTTCTATATATCTATCTATCTATCTATCTATCTGAATTAGGGCATGATTCAAAGCCCACTTGTACTGAGGCTCTAAGCTTATTGTACCCCTCACAGTTTCTATCCCATCAGATTGATTTTCTTGATGAATTTAAGAATATGTCTGATGGGCGCTTTCGCGATTTCTACAGATTCCGGATATTGTACCCTGAAGTACCATTCCCGTTCCCATTTAAGGTTCCGACAGTGGCATATTATGTGAATAGGAGTTTCGTCCTCCTCCTCACATATTCTACATAGGGAATCAGATATACCTAAGAGATTTAGGTGTCTTCTAAGGCCACAGTGTCCCGTAAGGAGTCCTATTATGGTCTTGAGTTCGCCTCTGCTAAGGTTTAGCAGTTGATTTTGTCTGCTCGTGGATGGCACTTCTATGAATCTTTTGGAGATACCCTTAAAAATTGACATCTTGACCAATTGAATATGGGACCACCATATCACCTTTCTAATAAAAAAAGAATTATATAAATCGAACAATGTGTTAAAGAATTATCTCTGAAAATACATAAAAAATAAAGAGTTTGATGATTTTCTCATAGAGAGTCCATTATTATTTCTTGACCAAATTTACATGGAATCACCACTGAGGTATCCCCTTTCTAACAAAAAAATAATCCTAGAAATCAGACAATGTTGTAAAGAATTATCGCTGAACATACAAAAAAAAATATTCCTACAAATTGAGAACCTCCTCCTTTTTTTTTTAAGTCTGTTAAAGGTCAGTACTTCAAAGTAGGTATGACTCAAAATTGAAAAACCGTACATGTCCAAAATTAGCCTTCCAAGAAAAACAATAAAAACCTTTTAACGAGTCACATTACATTAGAAAACTTTATTTACATGTTTAAAAATATACAAATATATACAACATAATATAAAATAAAACACAATTCCCGAGCGTTTTGGGTCGGCTTTTGCAGTTGCCTGCTGGGCCAGTGGCGATATTCTCACCTATTTTACACATGGTCGTTTAATATTGATGACTAGGCTAAACATAGCAGCCCTCACTCCTTGCCTAAGAGGCATTATTAAGGGGTTGTGGTGTCTTTGAAGTCGGTAATTGTCTTAGTTTAGAGATTTGTCGAGGGTTAGTTTGGTATTTGTCCCCTGAAAAAGCTAGGAAAAAACAGGGTTGTCAGCGTTAGTTTCCGTTATTGTCACAATTCACAGGACTACTGGACTGTAAAACCACCCGAAAGTGCCAAAGTCGGGGACGGAGGTCGCCCTCGGTCGTGTCAAATCATTTATTTCCTTTTAAAATATTTACAACTTTTTAATTACATCGTAAAACAACAATATATCAGGTATTCATCTTCATCGATGTCCTATTGGCTGATGTTCAGCCCTACTGCCTGTTTCCGACGTTTGTCAACTCAATGCACAAGTCAACTCCTTACCTAGGTGTGGTATTATTTGACTATTATGGCTTATTATGCGTTCAGCGGTTAGTGATCTTAATAATTGTTAGTGTTTGGATTTAATTCTGTATGTTTTCCCCTGAAAAAGCTGGTGAAAAAACAGGGTTTAGAAGCGTGGGGTGTTTGTGTGTTTAGTTTGTGGTGAGTGTATCTCATACCCATGCTCGACCCTATCGGCAGATCTGAGCGGCATTGGACCGGAGCATCAGCCAATGGCCAGTGCTCCGAGCCTAGGCCCCTCCCACCTTCCGATATAGTCGTGTGCTTCCTGAGTTGTGAATTCAGTTGGCCATGGACATGACAAGTAATCATAATATGCTACGATTGTCTCGTTATTGTGCTTTATTTTTGTCTGGTCTCAGCGTCTGTAAATGTTAAGGTTTTCGTGGAGCCAACGATGCTTTCTATTTCGGCTATTTTCTTCCGTGAATTGAGATATGTCTGCCTTAAGTTGTTGTGGCAGACAGTTTTTATAGAATTTATTAGACATATCTGTTATATACTGTTTTATAGGAAGAATGTTGGCTCTTTCATGTATGTCTGTTATTCTGGTGTCAAATGCACATCCCAGAGCTAGCCTAAGACACCTATTTTTTGTAATTTGCAGCTTTTTAAAGTGTGTATTCGCCATTGAGCAAAAGACTGGGCATCCGTATGTTAATATAGGCCTCAGGACTTGCTTAAATAAGAGTAGTTTATTGTTTTGTGAAACTTTGCTATTTTTTGCTAGCATCGGATATAGAGTCTTAATCATACCGGAGGTTTTAGCAATTCTGTCCATTATGTGCCTTTTGAACGTCAATCTCCTATCTAAATGGAAACCCAGGTATTTTATTGATGATTTTGATCTGATGGTTTGGTTATTTATTTTTAAGTGACCTTTGATGCCTTCTGATTTCCTTTGTGATAGAAGGGCTGTTTCTGTTTTTGTTGGGTTAATTTTCATTTTGTTGCAATCTAGATAGGGGATCAACGTTCTATTAACATGGATGTCCAGTCTTCGTGTAGCGATTTCTGCGGATTTTGAGGACTTAAACACACAGGTGTCGTCGGCGTACAGCGCCGTCTGTACCCCATTTTGACCCAGCGGCATATCGTGTGTCATAATGGTATACAGATGCGGCGAGAGTACTGAACCCTGGGGTACACCTGCATCAGCTCTGTATGGTCCTGAAAGTGAATTGAATATTTTAATGTAGAATTTTCTGTCATTAAGGTATGAGTGAATTGTTTTTATAATGTGACCGGGATAATCATTTTGTGAATCAGCCCTGCTGTCCAGACAGTGTCGAAGGCTTTTTCGGTGTCTAGGGCCACGAGTACCATTTGATTTTTAGTGTTAAACGCCTTTTTGACTTGATGTGAGATGTTAATAATTTGGGCTGTTGTACTGTGACCCTGTCTGAAACCATACTGGACAGAAGGGATGATTTGCTTGTCCTCGTCAATTAAGCGTAGTCTCGTAAGAATGACGCGGTCTATAATTTTGGAAATTCCCGAAAGCAACGAAATTGGGCGGTAATTTTCCACCATTTTATTGCTTTTATTTGGTTTCAGAATTGGAATGACATTTGCTATTTTGAGGCAATTGGGGTAATATTGAATTTTTAAAATAGAGTTGACAATATAATGGAGTTGAACGATTACTTTTTTAGATAGGTTTTTTAATAAAATGTTGTTTATTGCATCCGGGCCAGGGGCTTTCCTATTGCATAATCCGCGCAGTATATTTACAATTTCTTTGGGGTTTGTGAGGTCTGTTTGATTTACTTCAGGAATAATGTTGTTAATGTAATCTGTAACTGTATTTTCAATTATTTGCTGTTGGGGGTTATTTGCTATATCGTTGGTGAAAATACTCTGAAAGTATTCTCCAAATGCACGACTTTTTTCGTCTATTGTCATGTATTTGTTTTGTCCATTTTCAAGCGTGGGGAGTTGCGAATACGGCTTTTTAAACCTTTTCGCAATTCTCCATATAGAGTTATCTTGAGTATTTAAGTTTTTGAGAGTCTTGTTCCATTTCTCGTTACGTAGTTGTTGTAATAAGTAGGTAATGTGTCTAGAAATGTCATGTAGTCTCATTCTGTCTTCAGGTAATCTGTATGTCTGCCATCTCTTTCTTATTGTGTTTTTGTTACGTATTAGGTCGTGTATGTCTTGTGTTATTACTTCCAATTCAATTTTCAATTCAAAAATTTTATTTACATATTTACATATAAAAGTATCTATTACAATATAAGCATATATATTACAGATGAATTTCTTCTACTGATGTCCGAAGTATTTCCTTCTGCAATGACCCCAAACGGAGCCATGACCGATGTCGTGGCCGTATACTTGCATTGCTCAAGTTTAAATTGTGGTTTGCGCGATCTCTCCTTGCTGTATACAGCATTATAGATCAATATCGGCTATTAACTAAGTCAGTATTGGAATAGTAATGAGTTTTTGTGTGATTTTAATTGTGTCTGTCGTCCCTGAAAAACCAAGTGAAAAAACAGGGTTGTCCTAAATGTATGTTTACGTGTTAATTTGTGCATGAATTAGTCAAATCACAAGACTACACCGTTCAACCGTCACTCGACACAAAGGTTCCGGCAGGCCATTTTCATTTCAAAAGGTCTTTATTTAAAATATATACAAATAGTTTTTTATAATAACATTCTATGTACATGTTTAAAAGGGTTTCTTCTCATTGCTGTATGGGAGAAGTTTCTCTTTTGTGTGGCCTTCGAGCGAGACCACGACCGATGTTAAGGTCGCGCAAATAAAAAGTTATTATTTATAAATTATGCTTGGTTTGACTTCT